CTGTGAAAGTAATTTCATCCCTTTGATGTTTCTTTTTCCCATATTCTCCTTGTGTTCTGTTGCGTTGGGTTCCTGTTTGACTTCGTATCCTCAATGCCCCCTTCGTGCCTCTTATCTGTAATACAATGCAGCGCGATTCCGATGTCACAAACCGGCTAAAGCTGCGAGACGGGTGCTTCCACCGCGCATACCCTCCTTAGTGCCCTTAGCTCCTTGTGCTTTTTGTAGACGTCATAACGCCAATGGTCCACGACGTTCCGGCATCGAAAGTTTCGACGAGCTGCGGAAGTGGTAAGCAAGTCAGCGAAAGACGAACGATTTTAGTTATTCAAACGAAGAACTGTCAGTTAAGCCGCGGGATGACGCACGCCGCTTATGAGAGCTCGTCGACCACACTTTGCACTACTTCCCCCTGCCCTCGCGTTGTTGCCGTTGTCGTCACAACGATTTATAATGCCTGTCCTATGCGATAAGCATATCAGCTGCATTGGTGCGGTAGCTCGAGCAGCTTTTGGAGTTGGTCACAGCGTCGTTAGGGGACTACTGTTGCGGACAGCGAGCCTGCTTATCATCGTCTTCTGTTCATATGTGACGATGGCGACGGCGATGACATTTGCGGATTATTTTACGGGTTGACGCGACCGTTGCGATCATATCTCCACGAAACCAGCGACAAAAAAGTGCGTTCGTCCGAGATATGATTTCATAATCCAAATATTCGCGGCTTACCGCCTGGACTGTCTGTAATGACTTCGTCGTCTTTCGTTCTCCCCGTCTCTCCCGTCGGCCATAGGCAGAAAGTAACATCACTCTGTATGGCGGAAGTGCGTTCTGTGGGATTTGTAGAATGAATCGCGGGGGACCAGCAAGCCGAGAAACAGATGGACCTTTTGTACCAAAGCGGATCGCGCGATTTTTGTTGGCTTTAAGAGTGTTTGTTGAGTGATTGAGAAAAAGGAAAATTGGACGGACGACTCCGTCGTTGTTGAATATCTCCTACTTTACGTAGCCGGACTGGAACCAACACGAGTTAGCTCGTCCCCGTTTGTCCATTTCGTCAGCTCTTGCCATGCGATACCACGCTACGCAATGCACATAACGCTCTGCTGTGCGTATATCAGCGATGCGCGAAGACAGGAACGCTGCTGTTAATGAGGAAACGATAAAGACAGCGAGATAGACTTGTCTTTCTGTATTAGATTAGTAAATCGTCGATGATGTTGGCTTGCGTCTGTCCGCTGTACACACGTATTTTGTACACGTAAATATTCCACATACGGAATCAACAGCAGTGTGATCAACAACTGCAACGTTATTCAGTGAAAAGGCATCAGTTTCGTACGTAGACTCTTCCGGTCATTACACGTCTTGCCGACCTGATCACTCGTCGAGGTGGCGACATTTCGTTGTCACTAAAAAGGAAGTGGAGTGTCATGTCGTCGCAATATTGATTATTAATAAATAATGAGCTAGTGCTCTGGTATTTCAATCAGCAGCGGACAGGTATATAGGATGCGATATGGGCGACTCAGAATTATTACCTGGTAGAAATTCATACTTTTAATGACTGCTTGCCCTGTGGCTGTTGTAGTTGTAGTAGAAGCCTCAAGTTGATTGCCGGCATTGATGAAGGACCTTCTCAACCCTGCCTGATTGTAGATTGCTAGGAGGAATTATCACATGATGCAATCGTAATTGTAGACAATATTTTTTAACCACGATCCTTTCACGATCTATTCGTGAGTCGAACACCCGTGCCAGGACGACAGTCGCACAGCATGATTTATCATATATATGAAAAATTCTGTTGAAAAGCTTCATTCGTCAAGGTTGGTTCGGCGAAGCCGATAGGATCTCGTGCAGGCTAATGTATATATAGATCTCGGTAATCCACGGCACATCCGCAACAAAATGTCAGTTGAAATTTCTCATACCCAGGAAGTAGGTGTATGGTCGAATAACAAATAGGTCAATTCAAATTTTACACATGTCGAGTCACCGAAAAGCTTTACAGTAACCTTTACATTTAATTGAGAGATCGCTGTCGGTTGACACAGGGCCTATTTTTGCAGCTGAGCAAAAGAGGGCCCTTTTTTAACCGTACAAATACATTTTTCAAACGGTATAGTACAGCGAAAGCTCTTCCTCACCTCGCCGTTGAAACGGCGATTTACCTTAATCGTCACAGGTGTAGCATTATGCTGTTTAAAAACGTTATCATGGTCAACGTACATAATACTCGCAGTTGACAACGTTGTTGACATGCAGCCAGCCCTCACGGACGATACAATCTGAAAGACAGGCATTTGCATACATTCTATCAAAACGAAGAAAACCATGGACGCGCACGCAGGCTCATCGGTATAACACAACCATGTTAACGCCGCCGGCGGCAGCGAACCCGGCCTCTATTAAATGCTATGCTTCGAAACGACGTTGGGAGAGGTTTAGAACAGAAGATCGGAGCACATTTATTCCAGCCAGCTTACCGAGATAAGGATCTAGGTAAGTCTATTGCGTTTCATTGAATTTGAAAAGCCGCCATTAGGCAGTTTATCGAAACGCATAAATTCATCAAAGCTACATGTACTACGATTTCCTAGTGGGACCGATAATTTTGCGGGAATTATAGGTTGGTTGACTCGTAATACTGACAGCGTAAGTATCGTTAAGGTACAATGCCATCAATCTAGATGATTATATTGTTTTCTGGTACGTTTCTGGAACAATGGTAAACATCTGGTTACCTCACGAGAAATCGAATACTACATAGTGTTGGCAATATACATATCGAATAAGCTATACAATGAACCCTTCGGCCAAATTTAGACAACTATCGTACATCTATGCATTGTTCTCTGTTCTAAGGCCACACCAACAGGTCCTCTCAAGCCATATACTAAATGTTACCAATTAATAACGCAAGCCGGTTGTGAGCTTTTGCAGCAGTTACGTTGCCGAATTTAGCTAGTTCTCTATTCACGCTCTCTGGTTTATTAGCATCACAAATGTTTACGAAAATTGGCACTTCGCGTTTTTCCGAAAACGTTTCAACCGTAGCTGCGGTTCTCCTCATAATGCTTCATTTAAATTCTATTTACTACATAGTTATTATTCGTCTAGTCGTAAAGAAAAGAATAGATTCAGAAAAAAACGATTGTATATGCATCTGCGTATGTTTTCAATACGAAGCCGTATCTCCAGCAAGAGTCGTACGGGGCCTGTCAATAAGTAACCATATTTTACCGCTTTCTGGCGACAGACGACGTTTTCTTTGCTAATGTTGCTTCTTAGAATTTGTAGGGACTCAATATCCGTACAGAAGAATTCGGTAACGATCGGACAGGTAGAATATATACTAGTTAGAAGGCATTTTAATGAAGGCAGCGATAAGAAACAGTCAGGGGTGTGGCTGACTGACTACCCCCGCGAGCGAAAATGTGGGCCAGGTCGCTGTAGCCGGAGACGCCACAGTTGGTCAGGTGCAGCGGAGTCAGAAGCCGCGCAAGGCAGCGCGACGCGAGCAAAGACGTGCCGTGGCCCCGTCTGAGCAAACCAGTCTATTACAACTACGAGAGCTCCCGCCTGTAGTTGTAGCCATATTAATAGGGTTGTCGCAATACAGAAGAATTATCGTCTAGCCCCTCGAGCTATTCCTTTAACGATACCACCAATTACTAATACCAGTACCGGCAACAGAAAGGATGATGAGCTTAGGCATGTTGGATCAGTGCTCACCTTTTGGCAGCGTTTGTCGCTTTCGGCCAGTTGTTTCAACTTGCTTTTCCTTCTTACGTATCTCTTTTGTTTAAAGTGGTGACTCACAAGATTGAGCGGCACAGCCAATGAGAGCTAGATCCAGCACAACAACAACAACAATAGCAACATATCAAAAATCAGTAGAATGTCTTCCGCCGCTAGTGCTGCCATTATAGCAACAGCGGCAACAAGTAGTTTCTGTTAAAGGCGCTCCTTCTACGTCAACAAACGAAGACGCAGGAGCTCTTTCGGTTCTGTTGCTGTCGCTGGTATTGCCGCGGCCATTTCGTAATCGCCAGCAGCAGCCGCACCGTCCGCAAGGCAGCAATGGCATACGGTTGCGTGAGAGCTCTTGGAGCAAGTAGGACGCACTTGACTTTAATGTATATCTGCTGCCCGCATGCATCTTCGTATCCTCGAACCGTTCGAAAAGCGAAGATGCTGCTCGAAGAAGGTACTTCGCCGAAAACGGAATGCAACGAGAAGCGCCATGCCAGGCCTAAACCGTTCACTGCTTGATGAGTTCAGTAAACAAAATACGCATCAGTCGGCCCACCAAATTGTCTCGAAGCGCCGTTTACTACCGAAATTGACTACTGTTTCTGAACTAGAGAAGCTTGGCGAAACAAAACACAAACTTCAAACAACAGATTCGTATGTATGTGTACATATGGGACCAACTTCGCTCTCTTTAACAGATATCGATCGAAAAATCGCCGAACTATAATACAATGTTCGCTTCCGAACAACTTACAACTTACAAAAATCAGTGATGAGGACACATTTAGTGTTTCCAGCAAGAGATGATTTTTAGATTAGAAAAAAATGTTACCAGCGATGAAACCAATTACTCATCATTCAGCTACATTTCGTTATCACTGAAATTGAACGGTCATTAGCGGACAGGCTTTTAATTTATGAATCTAACCCATAAAATAAATAGCAGCAATACTAGCGGAGTATCGTTGAAAAACAAACGATCTTGCAGTGTTTTCTACTGAACAGTCTTGCGGTATAGGGTAATTAGCTACTGGTGTCTTAGAATTTGATCCATTCTAATATCCTTACAGCATGGAGTTTCTTTGGAAGCTCATACTCAATAATTACATATAGTCGCACCATACATCTAATTGAATTGGAGATTCTGTAAGGCTATTAGGAAATTTTACCATCGCTAAAGAGCACGTTCATGAAAACCATTTTATAAGGTCCAAATGAGGTTCGGCTGAACGCAAGCGTACCTGTTCGTAGTCGAGGCTAGCAGTAAGAGTGAACTCCCCAGTGTGAGGATTGAGTGCAAAGAGCTCGTTACCCCAATCGGAGAGCAAGGAGAAGGATACTTGACCATTGGCACCAGCATCAGCATCCGAGGCTTTAAGTGCTCCAATGCGCGTGCCTCGGGCAGTGTCTTCTGCCACGTCGAACGATACAACTGACGAACTGCCATAAGAAATTAAGTAAAAACAAATTAGATATGTATAATAGTAATAATAGTATGGGAACGATTACGATACGCCAAAATTAAGTGATCGGTTATAGATTGAGGTGGCAAGGAAACCTTTTTTTCTTCTAACCTGAACACTGGCGGATTGTCGTTGGTGTCCTGTACGGAAACAATAACAGGGGTAAGTGCGCTTTGTACGCCATCGCTAACACGAACTGTGAACCGATGCTCAGGACAAAGCTCGCGATCGAGGGGTTCCGCAAGCACCACGTGGCCCCGAATTGGGTCCATTTGAAAAAGCCTATGGTCATTGTTTCCTTGTCCACTGCTGCATCCCGTCGAACTTAAATTCACGCTGTTACTTTCACTAGCGTCGCTCACAATTTCGAAACTGATCGAGCCTTGGCGATCGGGATCGTCTGCACGAATGGTCAACACGGTTGAGCCTGTAGGGGCGTCTTCAGACAGTCGTAGGGCGTACGGTGCTCCAGAAAAACGTGGGGGAGTGTCATTCTTGTCTGTCACTTCGACGATTACCTGAAAAATTGCGAAGATCGTCGAACGTATCGATTTATGTAATAGTAATTGAGGCAAAAGTGTACCTCAATTGATGTTAAGCAATAATTGCAAAACAGAATGAATTATCAGTTAATTGTTTTTCTGTCTGTCTATAGTTGAGTCACAAGCTGTAAACTCATATGGGTTAGTTGAAACTGTGTGTAGGTAACCTAACCTAACATGGAAAAACAAACATCTCTGTCCACACGGAAATAGTGGCATAGTAGGACATTTAATTAACCGCACCGCTGTCTCATTACAGCCCAATTTTGGGTCGGATTTATGTTATAGAGTCTTTAACATGGACGTTACTTTTAAGAAACTTCCATTGTTGTAAACTTGAACAAACATCGAACGTCGGTTAACATGCTCTCCGCCTACGACAATTATAATTATAGGCTAAAATTAAAGATGCGCGTTCACCTCGAATTCTATTTAGATGAGCAAATATAGCATCGGCCACTTGGCTGTGTGACGTGAGCTCCCTAGTTACTCATCCATAGCGTGCTTAAAATAGTGGCTTTTTGCAGCTTCGTACGTTTCTTTGTATGAAAAATGGTTGTATAGTGTACAATCTTGCAGCATTTTCTGGTAATCTGATTAAAACGTGTCAGATCTACACGCCAGACTGGAAAGGCGCGTAGTTTTACATCTGGTCGTACCCTAAACTAAACAATAAAGAACATAATATAAAAGATCACTTGACTAACCTAAATGTACAATAATAGGACCACTGGGTGTCATTTGCAACAACATCATTTGATTTAAACGCCGAACTTAAACTTGTGGTCGGCTTGTTCTCCATGCCTTTTATCTCCGTTCGCTCCCAGCCTTGTACTCAGGCATTTTGTTATTTAGCTCATTATTAATCAACCAATACAAACCCTGTTATGTTCGTTCACCCACATATATCTCAATATAATGGTTCTTTCAGAATGCACGCTAAAGAACACACCCCACTACGCTGGCCCAGTCAGAACCTAACCTTTCTTTTTTTCATATATTTTTTTTATCCCTATTGAGATCTATTCTTATACATTGTACTATAGAGGTTCGTTAATCCGCTCCTCGGGTTGACACGCAGTGTAGACAAATGCCAGCATGAAGGAACCGAGTATCCGTTTTAGGTTCAGGTGCCTCCCATCCAACGACCGCAGCTCTTGTCTTTGCCCTCTTTACCGTATCAACCTAAGAAAGTTGCTACGCAGTTCGGCAGAGTGTTGTGACTCAGTCATAGTGGTGGCCCACCTGACCAAGCCTGGCCATCAGAGCCTACATGCACATACTTCTGTGCGTGTCCTACCTGCAACACAGGTAACGGAATGGCCAGATTGTACAGGCAATCCTGTCGGCCGCCGCCGCTGCTGCTGCTGTTGAATCAGAGGCAGAATCGAAGAAATAACTTTTCGCATAGGGACACATCGACTGCAACAGAAGAAGCCATAAGATCGAAGCCAGCGGCAGCTGGCGTGGCTGACCGGCCACTTACTCTACACCATATCAGTGCTTCACTTGATTTCTGCGCTTGCTGCTGCCGCCACCGATGCTACCTCTGTTGCGCGCTGACTGTTAAACGCCACCTCACGACGTGGTGATTGGCGGTGACGCTGATTCCGTTAGCAGTAGCAGTGCCACCAAATAGCGCCAGCTGACTCGTAGCGGTCGTGAACCGCCGTGTATACCTGTATCGCCTGTCCCCCAGTATACACACAGACAGGCAAGCAAATATACGCAAAGACAAGTCGCTTTAGCGTATAGAGAGATCACAGCGGTCAGACAAGACCCAACGACAGCAGTAGAAATGGCGGCGGCGAGCTGGAGTCGTAGGTAGGGGCCACGACATCAGTCGACCTTCCTGTCGGCGATGCTCAATTGGCTGCTGCAGTAACAACAGCGGTAGTCGGTCGTGTCCGTCGATCTTCGATCTGCGACAGTAGATCGATGTTCGCTGTTCGACGTTCACCGAAGTTCGATTCGGATGTTGAATTAGCTTTGGCTTGTGATCACGAAGTGAGTGGAACTGACCTGACATATTACCCCCCAGACGAACCCTACGAGCTTCATCGTGGGTTCGCCCGACGTTAGGAGAAGCAACAGCAGCGGCAGCAAAATTAACAGCATGCACATCTCTCTTTGTATATAAGCGTGTAGGACAAATAATTCATGTGGTGGGCCTGCGATCTCTCTAACAGCAGACCTCAAACATGGCACGCTCTGCCGTACAGTCACACACAGGTGCTCATACTAGTTAACAACTGGTAGTCATCGTAGCCTGAGTATGGCGACTGCTAGTTATAGTAGCGATGGTAGCTAGTTCTGCCGAGTTAAGCAATACATTTAGCCGAGAATTTCAGGTAACACTCGAGTCGGTAGATGCAAGAACATTTCTCAAAGTGAAACGGCTCTATCAGACTCGTCGGTGTTCTCGCAGTCGTGAGCTGCGGGCCACGAAGGCAGCCATGAATGGAATGAATAAAAATTAACGAATAAGAACCAAAGCGAAAAACTAGGTGTCTGCCTAAGGATCTTGATTTGTTACTTTTCCTGCGGACGCTGTCGGTAGCGCTCGCTTACTGAAGAAAAGAATCAGGCCGGATCAACAAGAAGGCGGCAATGAGGATTGAACAAGGGCACTTTTGTACTGTCCGAGCGTTCAAAAAGTTTACTCACCGTTAGGACAAATCTAATGTACAGCGCGGTCTCAATCTAAAGATTTAACCATGCGATTTTATGGGGTGACTTCGTGTGCTTCAGGTGATGTTGTTGCTGCATTTTTTGTGTTTGGATGATGCTTATTGAGATAGACGTGCAGTAAACGTTATTGCAGCCTGAAACAACGTATTTCGTATCTTTGTTCACCCGAGACATACATTGCTATTCCAAGTATAGCAACTATATCAAGCGATTTGATAAGCTTTAAAAACAAATAATTAGTTGGATAGTGGCTGCTAGTCGCGGGCAGCCAATGCTGAAAAACATTCAAGCCTTCATAGTCGTGCAGTTCCTGCGAACTGCGTCAACTTCCAGAGAAGTAGATACAAGCCCTCGCTGTACAAGTGGGTCACATCAAAGTACACATTGACCCGTTTTTAGAAAACATGTTAGAAAATGGATACTCATTAATAATAAGTTATTAGTTTCACATTATGTTTTGCATAGAGTTTATAAAGACATGTTTGGAAGGTGAGCAGAGCTACGAGATTCCATAGCATATAATTCTCTTGAAAGGCAAACGCTTAGAGCTGCACACACGAATTTTAAGGTAACAAAATGGAACGCGATAAACAAAAAAGATAACCAAGGAACTGGTGCCGTTTTCGTTTGAAATCAAACGTTTTCGATCCAAGAAAACAGGATCCGTACGTATGTGGGATGTTTGGTCAAATGCTTTTATGTGAAATTGTTATTTTCGCCGCATAAAACAAACGGATCTGAAAACGTAACAGTCCCCTTCTCTCTCCTCGTGTGTATATATATATGTATATATAAAGGACTGACACCGAACGGTCGCTTCCTCATTTTCTATTTTTTAGTATTTTTTTTTCTAGTATCTCTCAAGGTATTGCAGGTTAATAGATATATTGCTCTTACAATATGTGGCCATATAAATATGTGGTACGGCTTCTGGCTTTGTATGGTTTCATGTATGAGAGCTGTTTTGTTAAAATCTTTTTCGAGTTGGCGGTGGATGTGCTGCGATGCTTTTAGCACTTGTCAGTCATAATATATTTATATATGTTCAAACGCCACTTTTTTTTTTCCTCATCGGCATTTTTACCTCGGTCATTTATTTCGCTCGGCCTGGTTCTTTTCTGTTGTTATATTTCTACTTCTAAACTTAATTATGACTGCCCACGTTCGGTAATTGCGGTGATAGCGACAACAGCAGATGAAGTCATTGAGTGGCTTCACCGTAAGGGACGAGCACAGAAAATACCGTTTGATAGATGTTCATGGTTCATAAATGAGCAGTATCAGGCCCGCTGTATTGCTTTTTAATTTTACTTCATTAAAACAAAAATCCGGTGAGGGGCAGTCCATTTTAACGAAACAATGGTTTTTGAAAAAGTTCGACAAATGGGCCCATCAAGGGTTCCTCCTTTTTTCAATAGGAGAAAAAAGAGTCTTAGAATAATAGTAGTCGTGCTAGAAACGTCACCGTAACTAACCGGAGAACGTAGATAATTTTGAAATGAGCAAACGTGAAGATCACTGTCGGCCAGTGAAACACAGTATGAAATCGACGATCGGTTATTGCGTTATTTGTTTTCTCACAGTCCGGACCAGATGTTAGAGAACCTTGTGATACTGTTTTCTGCTCAGATGCTGAGGCTTGCGTGTTCAAGTTCGCTCATCATAAAACGTGTCGGACAAAGTAGCCGTAGGAAATCTGCACCGAGTCTTCTAACGGTGCGGCCAAGTTGACCGCATCGAGGATAACTGGTCATCGAACTACTGTTTCTTACCGACTCCAAAACAAATCACCGCAAAAGAGAAATTAACCTGGCTATCATTACTATTCGCCTTCCCTGACAACTTTGCCGATTTGATTCCGGCACACCGCTATGCATGCCCTTCCTACGTCGGACATCGTATATTTCTATCCTTCAATATTTAATTATCCTATGAATAACGCCTACGGCATCGATTCGCACCGGTGGAACGATGCCAAGCGCCTGCTTCTCTCTTTCTCTGTGTCTGTCTGCATATATATATATATATATATATATATATATATATAGAATGTCAACAGCATTAAGCGGCCAGCTAAGAAAGAGCAAGGCTGAGAGACAAATGGAAAGCGTAGCGTGAACGGAACTTGGGCTACAACGGCGTTCCATGTACACCGCATTCTTCATTAGACGCAACGACCAGCGTAAAACACAATATATATCTTGTTTTCAACGACATCCCCGAGTGTTATCGTCGCCGATATTGTACCACCCATAGCGTCTGCGCTCATCGAAATGCCGCAATGA